ATTTCGAAGACACATTCGCCGACTATTCTTTGTAGCAGTACCACGTCGACAGGACGACGACGACGCCAGATCCCCCCAACCGGACCGCGAAGGGCTTGTGGGACATTCCGACTCCCACTTTCCCACTCCAGGTCCATTCCGGCTCTTGCCCCCGTATTTCCGATTCCAGCGAGCACAGACCAAAGGATCTGTTAACATGTGTGGCTTCGGCGGCGAGCACAGACCAGAGGATACATTAATATGTGTGGCTTCGGCGGCGGGCACAGACCAGAGGATATATTGACATGTGTGGCTTCGGCGACTCTTTCCAATTCCGATTGCACGAAGTGAGCGCCAGGCCGGAATGTTCTGGGCGCTTCGGCCCCGCCCTGCAGCAGCCGCGCGTTGCATGACGCAGGCCTTGTCCGTGTGTGTCCGTGTCCGTGTCCGTGGTGGTGATGGTGACGCTTGTGGTTGTGGTGATGAAGGCCGTGCTGATGGTGATGTTGATGCTGATGCTATTGATGGTGATGGGAATGGATATACTAGAGAGTATAATTTATATAATGGTGATCGTGAGAGCGACGGTGACGATGGCGTTGACGAACGGTGGCAATGATGGTGCCTGCGGCGACGGTGACGGTGGTGATGTTGACGCTAATGGTTGTGGTGATGCTGGCGGTGATGTGGATGCGCGACCCTCGATTTGTGTAGGGGAAGGGGCGGGGAGGGAGGAGGAACGAAAGCGGAGGGAAGGAGGGAGGGGCATCACAATTTGTCCATGCAGAATTCGGTGTTCTGCTTCTCCTCTGATGTTTGCAACGCCTTTTTCAAAGAATCGGTGCCCATGCACGCGCAGAATGTGGTGAGGTCATTGCTCCATTGCAGCGGTGGTCTGTCTCGTGCTCGCTTTTGGGCCGACGGCAACTGCCGCAGGATGGGCGTCCACTTGTCGGCCTGTGGTGCGTTGAACATCTGGCGAGCCAGCTGCCACTTCAATGAGAATGCCTTTTGCGAGATGCCCGGGCAGGGTTCCATAAACGTCATGTTGGACATGCGCGTCTGCATCCTGCGCATCGTGTTTTGCCAGTTTTCCTCCAGCCCGTCATACTTTGCAGCATTTGTCCGCGCTGCCTGGAGCATGGTGTGCTGCTGCGGTTTCAGCGCCAAGCTGGCCAGCCCGTACAGTTGGACCAGCAGGACTGCAGAGCTGAATAGCTTCATGCGGTGACCAGCGCCTACATGTTGGCTCATGAGTGCGTGCCGTTTCTTTTCATCTAGGTGCCACGCAGCTTGTATCCTCTCTCTGATGGCAACTGCTGTCCAGATGTTTGACCAGCTGCGGCTTTTCCCAACATGTGCGTGCAAGAAGCGACCACAGCGCTGTTTAGCTTGGTTTGGTCCACCGTTTTGTTTTTCGTGCTGTTTTTCGTTGTTGTTTCGTTCCGTTTTCGTTGTTGTTTTAAGCGTCCCGTCTCGTCCATCGTTTTCGTTTGGCACCAGCTTTGTTTTCCACGTTCGTTGTAAACGTTTTGTCTCGTTTCGTTGTTCGTTGTAAACGCCATTTCGTTTGAAGCATCGTTGTGGTCGGTCCTTGTATGCGTGACGTTCGTCCGGACAAAGCACGTGAAAACAGCGGAGAAAACACTTTGCAAGCGGTGGGCGGCGCGCCGACGTGTCTCGAGGATGGGCTTCGCTTTTTCGCGGCGCTCAGATGCTGCCCGACCGCCTTGAACTTCACAAGCAACAGCGAAAGCATGACAGTGGCGTCGTCCAGTGAGCTCGACAACGATAACCACGGAAACAACGACAACGATAACGATAACAACATCACAGCGATCAATGCTTTCCCTTGCTGTACCAAGTGAGAGTACGCGACACGGGATGAACAAAAAGGCTCGCCGAGGATTTTGCCTACCTTCGGTGAGAACTCGCTGGTTAAGCTTGTTCGAGCCTTGAACTTCACAAGCAGCAGCGAAAACATGACTGTGGCGTCGTCCAGCGAGCGGGCGTAACGAAGGGTATCGTCTGCAACTCGAGTGTTTGTGCGGCGTTCTGCTTCGCGTGGGACTTCCCGTCACTGTTGTGAGGAGGCGTCTTATCCATCTGTTGGAAGCCCTCTCTTTGACTGCGGTCAATAACACGGGTTGAAAATACGTTGCCCGTGCGAACAGCCTGGAAGAGTTAAAAGAGGTCGTTCGTTCGAATTTGCCCCGGCTGCCCCCCAGTACAGCTTTGTACGGTTCATTATTTTCTGCAAGATGGTTTCTATAGCCGACTCGTGAACACTTTGTCGACCGCATCGCTAAGGTCCGAACTTACTATCCAGAGGGTGTGATTGAATGTGTGAGCAAATTCTATCATGTGCTCCACGCAGTGCAGGTCCTCGTCGGCGCCGAAACCAGTCGTGGTCTCGGCGCCTGGTTCTCGATGCGCGAGCTGCAGTTGATCTGCTTCGCCGCCGCGATGGTCGCACCAGTCGCTCCCCGACGTCGTAGCACTCTGATCATCACCCTGATCGGTCGATGTCCGGTATTCCTGTGCAGTCGCATCGCGGCCTTCATCATCTCATTCTGCTTGAGTGGCTCCAGCTGGTTCCACTCTGCCTGCTCCTCGGCCGTTAGCTCGAGCTCCTTCTCGGTCTCGAACATGTTGACCTTCGTCGCCGTGAGCGCCTTCTCCTCGTCTCGCATGTCGTCGATGTAGCCCACGAGGCTTGGCGGGTCCACGATGCACTTCCAGATCAGCTTGGCCAGCTGTGCTGGATAGCTCCCCGATCCCGTCGCGTCGCGACCACAGCATTCGGCGTGTCCATGTCCGGCAGGATCAGGGCATCTCTTTCCTCTTAGAGTCGTTGCCAGCTTCTTCCTGCTAGTCCAGACCGTCCACAGCTTGTAGTCCGGGCTACCCTTCTGGTTGACGACTCCCACTTGACATCCGTTGAAGACGGCCTTCTCCATCTCCACCTCGCCGAAGAACATGTGCAGCTGTGGAAAGAGCTTCCAGCCATGGCAGTTCCTCGACCACTCGAAGTGCACGTCTCCGCCATACGCTCTGATCCGACGGCCGAACACGATGAAGTTCTCGACCATCTTCCTCAGGTTCTTGCGCTTGGCCTCGAGCTTGCCCAGTGCTGGGTCCCTGCTCTGCCGATGTATCCGTTCTGCAATTCACTGGCCGCCGTGCACGGCAGGCTGCCCAATAGGTCTGCTCCACGGTTCTCGTCGGCAATCTTGAGCGCGTAGTCCAGCCCTGTTTGCTTGCTGAGGTCGGCGTCCTTCTTGATTATTCGGATGTTCTTGGCGTCGTTCCTCGCATGCTACCTGACCCAGCTGACTATCCTCCTCAGTGCAGAACTCTATGAGCGTCTTGACGTACAGGTCGGTCGCCGTATTCGCGTCCTTCACCTGGTCCACCACCCAGGTGTAATCCATTATGTCGATGTCCTCCCTCGGGTACCACGCGACGACGCCGAACGTGACGACGTCGGGCCCGGCGTCGCTGACGCCGGACGGTTGATCAGTTAGACTTCTTTGGATCCCCGCCCTGCGGCGAGATCCTGGGCGTCCGCCTCTTGTCCTTCTTGTCGGCTGGCCTCTTGGTGCTCTCCCTCATCATGTCGAGCCCCTCGGCCGCTCGCGAGGTCTTCGTCTCGACCCATGGCGTCTCCTTCTCGTCGGAGGTGCCCTCCTTCTCGAACGAGTCGTCCGAGCTCACCTCTTCTGTCTCCGGCCTCGGTGTCTCCTGTGAGGTCTTCTGCTTGGTGATCTCCTCGAACTTGATCTTGCCGACCGCCAGGCCCAGAGGCCCTTGCTGTTGGTACTTCCCCGATGCCCCGACCTTCGGGACATAGAGCATCACCAGGTCTCACCTCACGCACTTGTAGCTCGCCTTGTACTGGTTCGCGTGCCTCGCCAGCGGGTTCGTCGTGTCGTGGTCTCCTCGGCATGGCTTTCCGAGGTACCGAGCATCTCTCTCGTCGGTCCCCTCGGCTCTCCTCCAGTCCAGCCGCGGGTCCCTCCTGTCGATCGCCATCCACTCGCCGATCGTCCTGCCACCGCATTTCGTCCAGCTGCTTGTCGAAGCTCCTGCAGGTGAGGTCGGCCGAGCGCAAGCGACCGTCCGACCCTTGCTGCCACCGCCGCTGCCCTCGAACTTGGGCTTGCGGCTCGGTACTGGCGTCTCCGCAGCCGCGGCAGCTGCTCCCGGCATCCTGGGTGTTGCCGCAGAGCTACGCGGAAATCGCCCAGAATTTCTGGTTTGAGCCAGATCGTCGACCACGTTCATACGCGTTATTTAAGGGCGCCCTCGAGGGCGCGAAGTTATTCGCGCTTCGCGGTTCGGCTCCGATTCCTCCTCATCCTCCTTTGCTCCCTTGGGAGGCGGCGCGAGAGCGCGAAGTTGTTCGCACTTCGCGCTTCGCGCAGCGCGAAGCGCGAAGTTGGGAGCCCTCGTTGTCGGGGGCCCTCGGGATCTCGGAGACCTTCGACTTTTCTGACAGCACCTCTGGATTTCGGCTCGCTCGTCGTAGCAGTGGTTTCGAACCCCCCCGACACACTAGCAGACTCCTTTCCGTCCTCCGCCTTCGACCCGACCCCATCAGACTCGTCGTGAAACCCCTCGGTCGAGTCGAAGTCGATCGCGCCGTCGATGTCCTCTGCAATCGCGTCGCAGTACTCGAGGTCCTCGGTCGAGCTGTCGATCGTGTCGGACTCGGTGTACGGTCAGACTCCAGAGGCTTCTTGATGGTCATCCCGGGCCCTCCAGCTGGCACCGTTTCCCTTGGGAAATTTAGTGTTCCACTCTTCTCGGTTCCCTCCTCTGCTCTCACGGATGTCGTGGAATGACATATCCAGTGACGTGATGATGGCTTGGACGGTTCTCCATCACCGCAGGAGGGGCGATGTCCCTATTCAGCGTCGGCCGGCTGACCGGCCGCTCCAGCGGTCTGTCTGTCCGCTGAACGCTTGGTGCAGGTCCTCGAGTTTCTGCCGAAAGTCCTGCATCTCCTGCTTCTTCATTTATTGGCCGTAGATGTCCCAGGTCACGTCGATGCACAGGTGACCCGTCGAGATCCTCTTGAGCCTGACCAGCTTGTCCACTGCTGGCTTTGCGAAGCAGGCGGTTCCAGCGGCAAAATCGATGATGGCCCCTGAGCGCCTCAGGACATCCACAGATCCCACCAGCGGCACGTAGCGATTGTTCTTCGTGTGCAGAGCGTGCCCAGCGACTGTCCCGAGCTGCCCGCTCGCCTGGAGAGGCAGTGCTGCCCTGCTCGAGCACTCCTCCGCAGCACCATTCGCGAATCAGAAGTTTGGCCGATCTGTCACATCGACCGTCACGCCGCTGGTGTCCATCCCTGCGGCCTGCTGCTTCTCGATGATCTGCTCCAGCGCCCTGATAGATCCGGACGTCTTGGTCGCGCCACAGTCAAGCACCGTGCAGCCTGCTGTCTCGTCCTCGAGCCCGGCCAGCGCGTGCTCGACAGTGCCACCCTGCGTCGCATGGTGGGCTTTCTCGAACGATGTGAACGCCACCTCCGTCGCATCCTCGTCCTTCGGCACTGTCTCGCTGCTCAGCTCGATCTCGCAGTCCGGGATGTCGTCCCAGATGCCGAAGTTGAACGCTATGGCGCCGACTTGCTGCACCTTGTCTTTCGGCGTCCCGCCCTGGTTCTTTTCCTTGTTGCGCGAGCAGTGCTCGCGATTGTGCGCTCCGCCACAAATGAAGCATGGACCTTGTCCCTTGCCACCTGCTGGTCGACCCTTGCCATGGGCCTTGCCTTGCTGATGTAATCCACGACTCTGCTTGATATCCTTGACGACTGCACGTGCCTGCGCCAGCGTCCTCTTCTGCGTACGTACGTCTTTCTTCGCGCCAGCAATCACGGCCAGCGCCTCCTCTGCCTCGGCGCGGTCGTCCTCGTCTAGGTCCTCGAGGTCCAGCTCGTCGTTGTCCTCGTCCGCCTCATCGCCGAGGGAAGCCTCGTTGCCGATCCCCTCTCCGTGCTCGTCGTCGTAACCCTGCTCCACGTAGTCGTCCTCGTCGAACAGACCCATAGCTCGTCCCTTGCCAGGCTTGTGTGGGGACATGTCTCTCTTCCTGTTGGCGTCTGCCCACTGGTTCCGTAGTGCTGCCTTGATGTTCTTCAGGTTAAGCAAGTTTGTAGCCGATGATAGAACTCCCGCCCGCTCTTGAGCGTTCAGTCCAGCCCGTTGTAAGAGTAGCCATCCAGCCATGACCGACGGGATGAAGGTCTCTCTCAACTCTGTTGCAGCCACCTTCAGGGCTTGGATGTCCACGTCGTCCTCGTCCAGGTCAAACCTCGCCATCAGTGAACATGCGCCTCCGTAGCCTTCTTTTTCAGCGACGGTGACGCCGCTGATTGAGGCCTCTCCCACTGCGAGCCCGATAGTCTGCCTGGAGAGCTGCTAAACCAGCTGCTGCCGCGCCAGCAGCCTCTCCAGTTCTCGTCCTTCCAGCTCTTCGCGTCGTCATCGTCGTCGCCCTGGATGCTGCTCTCCTCCTTCACGGACTCTGGCTTCTCCTCGGGTCTGGACCGCTTCTGCAGCTTCAGCTCGTAGCTCGGGTCCTTCTCCTCGATTCTCCTGAAGCTCTGGTCCAGCTTGTCGGCGACGACCCGGCTCCGCTGGGCGTAGGCCTTCATCCCTTCATTGTTCTTCCGCCTCAGCGTGAAGAGGTACTCCTTGAGATACTTGGCCGCTTCCCAGATGGGTTCGTCCATGAGAGTCTCGTCTAGGAGCTGCAGCAGTGTCTTGTGGCCACCATTATTCTCCAACAACTCCTCGAGCACCTTCCAGGCTTCTCCCGTCAACGCCGATGCCAGCCTCGCGCCAGCCACGGCCTTGTCACGATAGGAGAGCCCTGCCACGTACCACTTCACCCGTTCCTTGTTCTCCTGGAAGCGTGCTCCGTCTCCGCCCCACGTAGGAACTTAAGGTTTGTCATTCTCTCTGCTGTCCGTCATGGTGCCAGTTGTGCGGTGTGGAGCCAACTGGCTCCGCTACCAATGCGGGTTCGCCGATACTCCTGAAACTCTCGAAGCTGTCGTAGACACTCCCGATGTTGCGATCGGCAACCTCGAGGTTAGGCCCGTGGATCTGACTCCTTTTCTCACCGGCAACGCGTGGCAGGCCGCTTCGCTCCTGCCCACTCGTCTGAAACTCGCCAGTACTGGCAGCAGAGAGCTTGCTCAAAATATGAGATGTGGGTGTACTGATATCTGATATCTGTGAATATCTCGGGGTCTGCGAGCTCTCTGAAGCCCACAAGTAAACCTAGCTACCGCCCAAAGGCGGCTCAAGGGGCCCCTCGAGCATAAACGGTTGCGGACTGGCAGGCGATGCACACTTGGGTCTACATGAGGAGGGGAAGGGGAAGGGGCAGGAGGAGGGGGAGGAGGAGGGGGAGGGGGAGGGGGAGGAGGAGGAGGAGGAGGAGGAGGAGGGGAGGAGGAGGGGAGGAGGAGGAGGAGGAGGAGGAGGAGGAGGAGGAGGAGGAGAGGAGGAGGGGGACGAGGAGGAGGAGGAGGAGGAGGAAGGAGGAGGAGGAGGAGGAGGAGGAGGAGGAGGAGGGGAGGGGGGGGGGGGGGAGGGGGGATGAGGAAGAGGAGGAGAACGAGGAGGAGGAGGAGGAGGAGGAGGAGAGAGGAGGAGGAGGAGAGGAGGAGGAGGAGGAGGAGGAGGTGGAGGACGAGGATGAGGAGGACGAGGAGAGGAGGAGGAGGAGGAGGAGGAGGAGGGGAGAATGAGAAAGACGAGGAGGAGGATGAGGCGGAGTTGGAGGAGGCGGAGGCAGAACAAAGGAGGGGAGGGGGAGGGACGGAAGGAGGAGGAGGAGGAAAAGACAGATGTTCGGGGGAGGAGGGATGGAGGAGGAGGAGGAGAGGGGGAGGGAAGGGGGCGGAGAGGGGGAGGGGGAGGATGAGGGGGAGGGGGATGATGATGATGATGATGATGATGATGATGATGATGATGATGATGATGCTGATGCTGATGCTGATGCTGATGCTGATGCTGATGATGATGATGAGGATGATGAGGATGATGAGGATGATGATGATGATGATGATTCTGATGATGCTGATGATGATGTTGCTGACGGTGTTGCTGACGATTAGTATGATGATGATGACGACGATGATGATGATTATGATGATGGTGATGATTCTGATGATGGTGATCATGAGTGATGATGATGATGATGCTGCTGCTGATGATGATGATGATGATGGTGGTGATCATGATGATGATGATGATGATGGTGGTGGTGATGATGATGATGATGATGACTATGATGATGATGGTGATGATGATGATGATGATGATGATGATGATGATGATGATGATGATGATGATGATGATGATGATGATGATGACTAAGATGATGGTGATGATGCTGCTGATGCTGCTGATGATGATGATGATGATGATGATGAGGAGGAGGAGGAGGAGGAGGAGGAGGAGGGTGGAGGAGGAGGAGGAGGAGGAGAGGAGGAGGAGGAGGAGTACGAGGAGGAGGAGGTGGACGAGGAGGAGGGGAAGAGGAGGAGGAGGAGGAGGAGGAGGAGGAGGAGGAGGAGATGGAAGGGAAAGTAGCGGCGAGGAAGAGGTGCAAAGGGTGGAAGGGAAGAGAAGGGAGAAGGACGCAGGGGAGGAGGGATGAGGGAGGAGGGAGGAGGAGGAGGTGAGGAGAGGAAGGAGGGGAGGGGGTTGGGAGGGGCAGGAGGTAGAGGAGAATGAAGGAGGGAGGAGGGAGGGAGGACGGAGGACGGAGGAGGGAGGGAGGGAGGGGAAGGAGTTCGGGGAGGGAAGGAGGGAGGGGGGGAGGGAAGAAGGGAGGGAGATCCCCTCCCCCCAAGGCGCGACCCGCCTGCCGCGCATGCGGCGAAGCCGGAGGCGGCTGCACGCCTGCAGCCGCGAGGCGCGCCTCCGCGCCCGCTCGGCGCGCCCTCGCCGACGACGATGAGGGCCCCCAGGACGAGGTACGGCAGGTTCGGGTCGTGTCGACAGGCGGCGACCCCGCCGCCTGCGCTCAACGTTGAACGCCCTCGGCGACCCAGAATCGTTCCATGTTGAAAGGTCTTACGTTCCGGAAGCCGCCGATCGTTCAAGGTCGTTCGATCCCCGCGGTGTCAGGGAACCAACGCCGGGATCGGGCACGACACGAACCTGCCGTACCACAACGCTGTTTCGCTTGGCTTGGGCCATTTGTCTGGTTGCTTCGTTTTCCAGCGCAGATCCAAGAAATCCGCGCGGACCTCCGAAAGTGTATATGTATGACTTTTGATTCCTCTGGGACGTGCCTTACACAGGGCTCGAGCTAAACTGCTCTGGGGCGATGCCGTGGACTGTTTTCGTTTCAGTTCCGTTTTGCAGCAAAGGCGTAGCGACGACGGAGCGAGGGAGAACTATCAAACAATACTATGAGCACGGGGAATACCGTTCAGGTCGAGCCCTGGCCTCGAACAGTGCAAGTCCAACCTTGGATCCCTTCCTATCCTTGGGGCCCCATCCCTCAGGGCTCCATCTCTGTCGGGCTGGACGCGAAAGGGAAGGATAGGGAAAACAGGCGGGGGGGTACGACATCTGCTGCAAGCAGCCAGTTTCTGTCGCCCAGGAGGCCCCCAGCTGAGGGGAGAGCTCGGGGGCAGCGTTGCGGCACGGCTGCCCTGCCCTCCCCTCCTCCGGGGTGCTCTCCGGACTCTTCCCCGGGGGGCGTCCCGACCGGGAGCGCCGAGGCGACCCCAGCTGTGGCGACGGGGCCCTCCCTCGCAGGAGGCCTGCGGGGTACGGCGAGGGGGCGGGGGAGGCGAGGAGGCGAGGGCGGCGGCCTCCTCTGAGCGGGGTGCGCGGGCGGGCGGCGGCGGCGGCGGTGGCGCGCGCGTGCGGCCGCGGGCCGGCGGTCCAACGTCGGGGGGGAGGGCAGGATGGCGGAGGGTGCAGGGTACCCGTCGGTCGTAAGTCAGGAGGAGAAGAAACATACAGACACAATTAATCGTCGAGCCCCCAAGAAAAATATGGGAAAATATGGGAAGTGGTGGGGAAGACAAAAACCCAGAAAATATGGGGAAATATGGGGAATCGTTTTATTTGTGTGTATTTATTTGTGTGTCCCAGGGCCCCTTCAGTAAGAAGTGAATCAAGGCATGAAGCGGGAAGGCGTTGGAAGCAGGCCGGGTTTCCGGGCCTCTCTGAGGTGATGGTGGTGGTGGCGGTGGGATGTGGTGGTGTGGTGGGTGGTGGGTGGTAGGTGGTGGTGGTGATGATGCTGGTGGTGGTGGTGGTGGTGGTGGGCGTGTGGTGGTTTGTGGTGTTGTTGGGGGTTGTGGTGGTGGTGGTGGCGGTTTTGGTGCTGGTGCTGGTGGTGGTGGTATATTTGTTTGTGGTGATGGTGGTGGTCGCGGTGGTGCTGGTGGTGGTGTGGTGGTTGGTGGTGGTGGTGTTGGTAGGTTGTGGTGGTAGGTTGTGGTGGTGGTGGTGGTTGTGGTGTGGTGTGGTGGTTTGTGGTGGTGGTGGTTTTGGCGGTGGTGGTGATGGTGGGTTGTGGAGGTGATGCTGGTGGTGGTGGTGGCGGTGGTGGTGGTGGTGTGGTGGTTTGTGGTGGTGGTGGTGGTGATGATAGGTTGTTCCGGTGGTGAGGTGATGGTTGATGCGTTGGTTGTGGTGGTGTGGTAGGTTGTGGTGGTGAAGATGGTAGTGGTGGTGGGTTGTTGTGTGTGTGTGTGTGATGGTGGTGGTGGAAGTGGTGGGTTGTTGTGGTGGTGGTGGTGGCTGTGGTGGTGGGGGGGGCGTGGTGGTTTGTGGTGGTGGTGGTGAGTTGTGGTGGTGGTGGTAATGGTAGTGGCGGTGGTGGTGGTGATGGTGGTGGCGTGGTGGTCGTGGTGGTGGAAGTGGTGGTGGTGGGTTATGATGTTGTTGGTGGTGTTGGTGGTGTGGTGCTGCTGGTGTTGGTGCTGGTGGTGGTAGTGGTGTGTGGTGTGTGGTGGTGGTGGTGGTGGTTTCGGTGTAGTGGTTTGTGGTGGTGGTGTTGGTGGTGGCCTGTGGTGCTGGCTGTTGTGGTGGTGGCGGTGGTGGTGATGAAGCTGGTCGTGCTGTGGTGGTTTGTGGTGGTGGTGGTGGTGTGGTGGTTTGTGGTGATGGTGGCGGTGCTGGTGGTGGTGGTGGTGTGGTTGTTTGTGGTGGTGGTTGTGGTGGGTTGTGGTGGTGGTGGTGGAAGCGGCGGCGGTTGTCGTGGTGATGTGGTGGTTTGTGGTCGTGGTGTTGGTGGTGGTGTGGCCTTCGGGTCTTCTCGCCACCGTGTTTTGGCTTTGGGTCAGGTGGTGGTGGTGTTGGGCTGCGATGGTGGTGGTGGTGGTGAAGTGGTGGTGGTGATGGTGGTGGTGGTTGTGGTGGTGGTGGTGGTGGGAGTGTGGTGGTTTGTGGTGGTCTTGGTGGTGGTGGGTTGTGGTGGTGGTGGTGGTGGTGGTGGTGTCGGTGGTTGTGGTGGTGGCGGTAGTAGTGGTGTGGTGGTTTGTGGTGGTCATGGTGGTCGCGGTGGTTGTGGTGGGTTGTGGTGGGTTGTGGTGGGTGGTGGTGGTGGCGTTTTTGGTGGTGGTGGTGGTGGTGGTGTAGTGGTTTGTGGTGATGGTGGTGGTCGCTGTGGTGGTCGCGGTGGTGCTGGTGGTGGTGTGGTGGTTTTTGGTGGTGGTGGTAGTGGTAGTGGTAGTGGGTTGTGGTGGCGGTGGCGGTGGCGGTGGCGGTGGCGGTGGTGGTGGTGGTGCGGTGGTTTGTGGTCGTGGTGGTGTTGGTGGTATGGCCTTCTGGTCTTCCCGCCACCGTGTTTTGGCTTTGGGTCAGGTGGTGGTGGTGGTGGGCTGCGGTGGTGGTGGTGGTGGTGGTGGGGTGGTTGGTGGTGGTGTGGTGGTTGGTGGTGGTGGTGGTTGTTGTGGTGGTGTATATGGCGATTTGTGCTCCCCATAAGCGGCCTCTTGGCCCTCTCTGGTCATCGTCGCTGCGTTCCCGCAGTCGGCGCTGCTGGCCGCCGCCAGCGCCGGCGCCCGCGCCGAGGGGGGGGTTTGGACCCCCCCCCTGGTCCCTCTCTGGTCATCGTCGCTGCGTCTGCCGTTGGCGGTGCTGGCCGCCGCCAGCGCCGGCGCTGGCGCCAGGGGGGGGAGGGAGGGCGATTTGGGGAGGGGGAGGATTAGAAGGGAGGGGAGTCCCCCTGGTTCTGATCGACGGGGCCGAGTGTTGGGGCGGGGCCCACCCCCGGTTCGAAACGCGCCGCCGAATGTTCCCAAGGCGAGCGCCCGTGAAACGCGCTCTCTCGGATATCCAGAAGTACCTACTTCCAACGACGAATCAGCTCACATAGCTAGCTGATTTTCCTGGCGCCTCCTGGCGCCGGGAGGCGTCAATAAATCGAGGAATGGGGCCCTGCGGCGGGGCTTTCGTCGCCACCGCTGGATTCGCCTCGAAAGCCTGGTGAGAACGCACCCAGGGAGAGGTCCAGAGAGTAGCGGTATCGCTATGTGTAAGTTGCCCAAGCACATTCAACCTAGATAGTAAGGAGGATCGACTTTCCAAGGGTACTCTTGCATCCCTGCCTCTTCGGTCATCTTCGGTCCATCCTCAGCCACCTTCGATGCCCAGCCCCGTTCGAAAAGCCTCGGCATACGCGTCCAGGGCCCTCTCGTCCATACCGCGCATCCTTATTAGATGGGTTGAATGTAGTGGCGCTCGGTGGCCACAATCGCCCAGGACGCCCTCGGAGAACGGCCCGAGTCCCAGAACCGCGCGGCGACCCCGAATCCACACGGATTCACGCTGTGGCCACCACGCCGCTCGGGGCCCCCCGAGGCATCGGTTTTTTGTTGGTTCTTTCAGTCCGCCGCCGCCGTCGTCGCCTGCCGCCCTGCCGCCGCCGCCCTGCGTGCTGTGCGTGCGCTCCCGGGAGGCGCCGAGCGGGGGGAGGCGCTGGGCAGGGGGGGGCGGAGGCCGGCCAGCGAGGCGCGCTCGGCCTCCTCGAAGAGCAGGGGCCCTTCCAGGAGGGGCTCGGGAGCAGGGGCCTCCTCGAAGAGCAGGGGCCTCATCGAAGAGCAGGCGCCCTTTGTCGTCTGGGGGCGGCGCCTCCAGGGGGGCCTCGGCGCGGCGACCGTTGGGCCCCACCGGGAGACAGAGCAGGGTGCTTTGGGCGGGGCTGGCGCAGGGGTGCCATCGGGTAGAGAGGAGCAGCGGGGCCAGTCGGGGGGCGTGAGCTGTGCGCTCGAGGTGGATTTGCCTGCAGGCGCTCTGGCGGGACGTGTGGATTGACGATCAGGCCTCCGCTGGTACTTTCGGAGGTGGTGCCCATCGGTACGCACCCCTGAGATATGGGCGCTGCAATCATGCAGAGGCATCTGGGCGAGTCCACCCTGCTGCACACGCCACGCTGCAATGCGAGAGCACCCCCATTTCTGTGCTCCGAGCGCATGCGTGTAGCAGCTTATGGTGGACTGGAGCTCTCGCATGGCTCATTCGCTGCGCGGGAAGGGGGCTCCTAACGTGCACTAGCAGATAGCCCAACCGATCAGCGGGGTGTGAGCAGCTGGTGCGGGCAAGGCTGGGCTACAGGGATGACGTACCCCTTGCATGGCACACAATTTCGAGGAGATCCTCGTAGCGAGCGGCTAGAACTTGTGCCACGACGCGTCCGTTTTATGGTATCGGTATAGTCATGCTTCATTGTTGGCGCGGCACGCTCCGTCTGACATGCGGACTCATGTGCTCTCGCCCTCCTCCCCATCCCTTCTGCGCCCACTGCCTCCTCTCGGCCTCCTGCTCCCTGCTGCCTGCCGTCCTGCTCCTTGGCCTGCCCAATGAGGCCCCAAGGGAAAGCTCGTCTTCTGTTGCAGGCGTGGGGTGGTCACGGGAGGTGGCTCGGCCTCGGGAGGCTTGGCGAGCGCGTGCTCCGGGCCCACAAAGCGCAATGGAGGCTTTTCCGACCAGCTTCTCTCGGCCGGATGGCGATGGGGGGATCAGGACATGGGGGGATGAGTATCCGGTACCGTTTTGGGGTACAAATTGTACCTTCTCTGCGGGTTGCAAGTACAAGTTGTACCTTCTCCCCCCCCGTGAACATCCTCGCACATGTCGCGGACGTTGTCAAAAGTACAATTTGTACCTTGTCTGCGTGGCGTCGGTACATTTTGTACCTTCTCCGTGGGGCGTAGGTACAATTTGTACCTCGGTTGCGCCTCTCTCCCCATCTGGACTTATCCCCCCATTTGCATCCCGCCAATTCTCGGAATTCGTTTGGGCAAGTTCCCGTCTTTCTGAGCAAGGCCAGAGAGATCTGGAGTTGGGGGCCTTCGGGGCCTTAGCTTCGCCGGGCGGAAGGATTTGGCCGAGACGCTGGATGGGGGCTGCAGGCCCCTGTTTCTGGTCCCGCGGAACCTGGGTCTGCCTGCGAATCGTGCCCCCTCCAGGCGTTCGACCCACGAGAGCAGGTCCTGGACCAATTCGGTTTGACCGATGAGGACCTCCCCTGGGCGAAGGCTCGGGGGGAGGCGCTGACTCGTCTTTCGGCTCCCCCTGGGGAGGAGTCGGATTCTGACGCATCAGATGCCGTTCGAGTTGGGACCACCTCGGCTTGAGGACCGTCCCCGACAGCCTGCTCCTCGGCCTGCCCGCCTCTCCTCCCAGAGCTGCGCCGGGCACGGCTCCAGCTCGGGCGGCGTGGCGCCGCGGCCCGCGCCGGCTGGGCGGCCCCCCGCGCGATGCGCGCCGGGGCGCCGCGGCGCGGCGCGCCGCGGGGCGGAGCCCGCCGAGGGGCCGCGCGGGGCGCCGCGGGGCTGCTGCTGCCCCGCGCGGGCGAGGGCCCCCTCGGCCGGGCCGCGGGCGTCGATGCCGCGGGCCGCGCGGGCGCCGCCGCGGGGCGCGCGGCGGGGCGGGCCCCGCCGGGTGGGGGCGGGGCCGTGCGCCACGGGGCTGCTGCTGCTGCTGCTGCTGCCCAGCGCGGCCGAGGCCCTCTACCAGGCTTCGCAGGGCGTCGGCTGTGCGCCTTCCTCGGCCCTGGCCGGGCCGATCCTGGGCCCGCCAGGTTTTCATGTGGATCGACGCGCGAAGCGCCGCCCGGGGGGGGGAAGATCTTTGTGTTTGCAGCCGCCCATTTCGGCGCGAGCATAGGAATTTTTGGGGTCCCTGGGGCGCCGCCACGTCGCAGGAAGTACTTGCGTTTGATTTCGAGCAGGGATGTGGGCCTCAGGATGGGTGTGCGCCCTCACGGCCGGGCGTGGAGGGTGTGCGCTCCGATCTTGGATCCCGGGATCGGCCCTGCCAGGGTCGGTGCAGGTTCACAGTTTGCGGCGTCTGAAAGGTTGTCGACGTCGACGTCGCAGGTTGCGCGGAGAAGCTAACGCTTCTCGAAGGTGGCATGAGCGCCAAGGACGACGATAGCATGTTCGCAGAGATGACCACGTGGGTACCCAACTGTTCGAAGTGGTACAGGAAGCTGCCGTGCACCTGTTCGCACGTGATGTTTGAGGACGTGCACGGCGAATTCCTGCCTGGTTTCGGGAAGCTGTGGCACTTGCCAACGCTCCAACGCTTGCTCACGGAGCAGCGCAGATTTTGGCAGGATTTATCTGGCACTGCGGAGCCCACAGCCGAGAACGCGTTTTGGCGCAACACTGCCCTCGCAGGCTTCAAGAACAGCCTCGACGTCAGTTTTTTTGTGTTCACCACCCACAGCAACCAATTCTGGGACGCGTGCCAAAAAGTGCCAGAATGTCGACTCTCTGCCGCTTTCACTGTCATCGTCGGCGAACTGTTCTCCCTGAAGGCGCTGTCCATGGGAGCCAAGGCTGGCATCACTAAAGATTACGAGAAGCACCTGGCATTGTTCGAGACTGATCGGCCCAGTTTTCCAGAGGCTTTCTTGAGAGCCCCATGGTCTCTGCTGCTCACGCGCCCTTCGTGGGCCGCTGCCTTCGCCTGGTCGGTGGGAGAGCTGGACCACCTCCTCTCCATGAGCACGGATAGGGCGAGGCCCTTGCTGAGCACCTGGGACAGCACGAGTCGCACTGCCGAGGGCGTCGAGGGGTGCGCGGCCAGCGTGGGCGGCGCAGAGGGCGCTGCGGATTCTGGCGAGAGCTGTGCGGCTCAGGACCCCATCGTGGTGGCTGCCCTAAGTGCGGCTTTCGACGAGCACCGCCACCACCCTCTCGAGAGGATCGTCGCCTTTGGCCGCGCACTGTCGTCAAGCCTTCCGGAGAGCGCCCCCGCGGAGGCATGGCCCTCCGTGGAGGAGCACGCGGAGCCGCTGTCGGGCTCGTGGCTGTACCGATTCTGCGGCCCACCCGGCACCATCGTGCACCGGAGCGTCGGGAGCACGCAGCTGCACTTCCTGGCCGCGGACGTGGTGGAGCTCGGCGGGGAGCTGCTGCTGGAGCTGCTGTGGTTCGCGAGCTCGGACGACCGCTGCGTCATGGTCGGCACGGGCGAGGAGGGCGCCCATGGGGGCAATCAGGAGGGAACAAAAACACACAGACACAAATAATCGTCGATTTCCAGGAGAGAGAGAGAGAGAGAGAGAGAGAGAGCGAGCCGTGCACGTGTAGGGTGCATTTGCACTAGATGGAAAATACACGCGGCACTAGATTCATGCTGGCGCGTCGAAGCAGAAACGCCTAGCAGCTGAGCTGAGCAGTATCTTGCCGACTGCGGGTGAAACGTCACTGTCGAATGTGCTTCCAGGAGACTGTGGGACAATCTGTGGGAAGAGGAGGGGAAGGCGACACCCCAGAACGTACGGAAACACATGCGGGAGCCTCGGGACTCCTGTGCCCACACCCGCCCCTGTGCCCCCTGGGCCCCCTCCAGGCAAGACCTACTACTCCTGGGCCCACACGCTCCCCATGGCGCACCTGGTGCACTGGCGCTGCGACGTGGCCTGGGCGGGCGCCGAGCCCGGCGGCCCGGGGCCCGACGCGGTGACCGTCTCCTACTCCGGCTTCGCCAGCGCCACGGCGTGCCGCCTGCCCGGCGCGCGGCCGCGGCTGCGCCGCGGCGGGCCGGCGCGCGCCGCCGAGCGGATGGGCCCGTCTTCCACCACCACCACCAGAAGTTGGAGGGGCAGGGGGTCCTCCTCCTCCTCCTCCTCCTCCCTCCTCCTCCTCCTCCTCCTCCTCCTCCTCTCCTCCTCTCTCCTCCTCCTCCTCCTCCTCCTCCTCTCTCCTCCTCCTCCTGCTCCTCCTCCTCCTGCTCCTCCTCCTCCTCCTCCGCCTCCTCCACCTTCCCCCCATCCAAATTATGGTGGTGGTGGTGGTGGTGGTGGTGGAAAAACAGGCCCATCACGAGCGCCCCCGGACGGCGCTGGAGGCTCGGCGCCGAGCAAAGATCGGCTGTGCGCAAGCGGGGCCCTTCGCCGGAGGGGCCTCTGGGTGCGGGCCCATCGGGGGTCGCCCGATCGCTGATCGCGATGCGCCAGTGGCCTCCTGCGGGCGCGTGTTGGTCCCAGGCTGGTCCCCCCTGCGGCCCCCAGAAAGCCGCGCACCAAAGGTCACTCTTTCCCAGGGTCAGTCACTGGAGGCTCGGCGCCGATCAAAGATCGGGGAAGCGTAATGAGACTCGGGTGCGCCGGAACTCGGATTTGCCGACGCTTTTTGACGAGCGTGTCCTGGAATTTTGAGGGTCCAGTTTTCGTGGGAGGTTTGCAGCGGGAGCTCGCGTCAAATTTCAGAGAGTTGGTTTCGTCATTCTCATGATGGCCCCGGCAGGCCAGCCCGAGTCCCCCGTTCCCGAGTCGTACGTCTCCCCGAAAAGAGGGGATCCTGAGGGGATGTGGTCCTAAGGATGAGGCAGGGGTCCAAGGGTGGATCTACTCGGCGACGAGCGAGGGGGGAAGTGAGAAGGAGAAGTCTAGGCCTCCTGGATGGGGTCGGACGGAGTAGATGGGGTCGGAGGATCGCGCCGCATCGCCGATGCATCGGCGATGCGGCCCGATGTGGAGCCCGATTTTCTCCACGCCCATGGGGCCGATGCCTCGCCGACGTCGCCGTTGCGGCGCGGTCCTCCGACCCCATCTACTCTTACCCCATCGAGGAGGCCTTCTCAGAAGGCCTTCTCAGAAGTCGACGGGACTTCTCAGAAGTCGGCCCGACGGCTAGACTCGGCGCGCAGAGAGGCCCCGGAAGCGATGGATCGGCACGGTCAACGGCTACAACAACCACTGAGGCGCTGAGGCGCCACCGCTCCGTCCTTGGGGGACCGCGCTCCGGTGCGCATGGGAGCGTCCGTCCGTCCGTCCTCGCGCCTTCTGGGAGGTTTCTGCGTCTTCGGGGAAGGCTCAGCAAACTCTGCAGAAAGCTGGGGGACCTCCGAGCCTTCTGATAAGGCCTTCGCCTTCTCACTTCCCCTCCTCGCTCTCCGCCGATCAAGGAGGGGGTCCTGAGGGCTGGGGTCCTCAGGACAGGCAGGGGTCGAAGGTTTGGTTTACGTTGTTTGAGGCACCTCGTCCTTTGGGCCCCATTCCCCAGACCCCCGACGCCAGGTTTTTTCCATGACGTGGACCCCCTGCGGTCTGGACCCGTTCCCGAAAGACCGTTTTTGTTCGCCCCGATCCGTTGTTGGACGGCCCCGAGGGCCGGTAAGGGCCCCCAGAGGCCGAAGATAGCGAAGAACCTCCCACCATTATTGTAATGTTTTTTTTCCCCGGATTATTAGCATAACCTTTTTTAAAACATAGTTTCTGGTTGATATTTTCATTATTGTCGTTATTCTCATTATCATTATTATTATTATTATTGATTCACAACATTATTGGCATTCTGATTCGTATTATTACTACTACTAGTATTCTCGTCATTATAATTATTCGCATGAATAGAGTATATACTAATATACTATACATGCATACATCCATATATTTCTTTCTCTCTCTCTATATATATATATATACATAATGTTTTAATGAAACCGAAGGGGTCTGGGTCCTCAGGGCCCCATCTCGGAACCACCGAGAGGTCGCCTTGGCCCCCGACGGCGGCTGGGGCTGGCAGCCCGAGGCCCTCCGCATCTGCGCGGTGCCCGCGCCCCAGAAGCGCCGGCGGGTCTCGGCTTGCAGCGCGCCGCTGCACGGCAGTCGGTGCGATCGAAAGGGGCGCGCAAAAAAGCATGGGCAGCAGCGGTCCTTGCCCATCTTCGGCCACGCACGGAGGGGGGTAGGTGGGAGGGGCGAAGGCTTCTTAGAAGCACCCCTGCTTCTAAGAGGCCTTCCCCCCTTCCCCTACCACCCCGTGCGTGCCGCCAACATTTCGAACAGGACTCGCTGTCGGTGTCGTCGCGGGCGTTGTGCACTTGAGACTAGAGGTCACCTGGCCAACAGCGGGCGCTGTCAGTTCTTGACAACCTTCGCTCCTGGGCATCGTGCACTCCTTCCGTACCCATCTCGGGCGCCCAGAGGCATGGAGCGCATGCACGCGATCGCCCCTCACTTGATCGAGGATTGGCTCAACTACCATATCTCGAAGAGGGAACACATCTGCATCAGCAGCAGACTTTCGGAGGCCCGCTCGAGCTTCCCGGACCTGCTCTGGATCCCTCTGGCGGCGCCTCCGGCGCCGCCCCGGGAGTGCGCTCCGCACGCCAGGGAGGGGGGGCCCAGCGCCGATCCAAGGAGTGCGCTGCGCGGCCCGCAACAAAGGTTTGCGCTGGGGTCCGCAGAAGGCATCTGCACGCCGCCACCGTGTCTGGCCGGGGCACTCCTGGGCCGTGGCATGGTGTGCACCCCTGCCAGGCCGAGGCCAGGAGGGTCAATACACCGTCCTGGGGCCCAGGATGAACCCCGTCAGGCACGGTGGTGGTGTACAGATGATGCTGCGTATCATGCAAGTGCTTCTTCTTCCTCGCATCCTCATCGGCATCGATCATTTCACCCTCTTCGACACGGACGGCTCCCTGGAGCCGTTCGTGGCGCGCTTCGTCCAGCAGGGGGCGGTGACCTACCACGGGCGCTGGCCCGCGCAGCTCTCCCCCAAGCTGGGGCTCCTCGCGGACGGGGTCTCTGCGGCCGACCGCCGGCCCATGCTGACCGAGCCGCAGGCGCTGGACTCGTGCCTGTGGGCTAACCGGCAGGTGAGCTCAGAGAGGAACAAAAATATACCCATACCGCTACCTTTGCCTCGTTTTCGCATTGTTGTGCCTCCCAGGGAGGCCCTCGTCGCCACCGCTGGACTCCCTTTGGAATTCTAGTCAGAACGCACCCCGGGAGAGATCTGGAGAGTAGCGGTATCGGTACCTTTTGGTTTCCTCAAGCGAGTGCGGTTGCGCGGACCTTCGCGCGTAAGCTGCCCGCGCATGGTCGCGCGTGAGCGCCTTCGTTTCCGATGGGGCGTGCCGCGCTGGCGGCCCGCGTGAGCCGCGGCGTAAGGCCGCTGTGTCATCATGCGTAAGACCCGCCGCTCAGGTGAGCGACTGGGTCGTGGTGCTGCACTCCTTCGAGGAGTACCTGCACTCGGCGCTCTTTGCGGATGGCACGCGGCTCGACGCCCTCCTCCGCTCGTGGTCCGCCAGGTTGGCACCGCGCCGCGTGGCCCTCTTCGAGCTGTTCCAAGAGCCCTTTGGGGGGCCACGGGCTCCGAGCGCGCGCTCGGTGCTGTCCAGCTGGACTCACAAGCGGGGCGACCTCCTGAAGGGCAAGCGTGGTGGCGAATGGTTGAAGGCGGCGGGCAACCACCTCAAGCCCTTCTCGTTTGTCGCGGACCCCCTGAATGTGGTGCACTCGGCCGTGCACCTGGCCCAGCCGCGTGGCGACGGCCAGGGGATAGTCGCGATGGAGGACAGGGTCCTGCGCGTAAATCACTACATCGACCTGGGCGTGAACTCTTCCCGATGCCTCCACGAGCTTGGCGGCTGCGAGGTGTCAGATGGGAGCATTGCATGGGCAGAGGATGCTGTGATTGCGCGGCGTGAAAAGCGTGCCTTTATGGGAACCGTTGCTTGGCCTCAGCCGAGGACACGCACGCCGTCGATATTGCCTTATTGTTATTCCTGGCAATATTAGAGCGATTGCCCTGATACAGGGAGGAAGCGAACTGCTCCACGGCAGAGTTGGCAACTCTTTCACATAACAGTTCGCTTCCCAGTCGCAGCCGTGCACCAACCCCGTGGCTGCCGCATCCACTCCGTCGTCGTAGTTACCTGGTGGCAGCCTCCTCCGACAGCTCATGTACCCGTCGCCTGGGCCACCCCATAGCGACTCAAATCTGCCGAACGTGCTCACACGCGCGTTTCCGCGAGTGTGCACGAGTGCGCTCTTCCGGCTCTTCGCCCGAGACCTCTGTTCGGTCCTGGCGTCTGGGCCCAAGATGGAGGCGGAGGATGAGAAGGAGGGTGCAATAGGAAGATATTGATGGGCCCCACAGAACAGTTGTAAATCGCTTGGCTCGAAGACCCCCGAATATTCAAAACAACAGTAATCCCCAAACGCCGACAATCCCCAACATTCAAACGAATAATCCATGTCTGGCGCACCGAATATTCATTGGCCAGAAGTCGGCCGCGCCGTCAGCAAAACCATGCCATCGGGAAGAGGAGGAGGAGGAGGAGGAGGAGGAGGAGGAGGAGGAGGAGGAGGAGGAGGAGGAAGAGGACGAGGGAGGACGAGTGGCGCAGAAAATGATCATACAAAGCGCCATGCTCGATCCGTGCGCCCTCGCGCTCGCGCCCGCGCCCCTTCCTGTTTGGTCCTGGCTGCCCGGAGTGCTGCGCTCAGGAGGCCCGCCGCACGGCGCTGCCGGCATGTGGGCAGCAGGCGCCTTGCTGCTTCTTCTTATTATTCTGATTCTTCTTATTCAGCTCGGAGGCCAGGGAACATTGAGAGGAGCAAGGAGTTATGGTAATGATACGTGTCAAGATCTCCGAGGCTTCCAGGATTTCCAATTTTCTCTCATGCTCCGCACGGGCTCGAGAAAGAAGGACCACTAGATGCTCTGGAAATCCTAGAACGTATCCTGAGCCACTCCTATCATAACATCATTATCGTCCCAATCATGCTCAGCCCCGAGCCCTAGACCTCATCTTTCTGCAGCATTTTTCGAGCCGGATCGATCTGTGATGGTTGTCGCTGCCCCTGAGGGCTCGACGATTTTTCGCCGAGCGCCTTTTGGGCATCAAGCTGGATAACTCAGGGTACGTGCAGATGAATCGAGGCAGAACCAGGCACATCTTGGTAAGCCCAGGTAAAGCCAGAGGTCGCCAAGGCAATTCGGAGCACACCGTGGCCACTGCAGCGCGAGCCGAGGGACGGCAGAAGTCGTTCTAAGCCCTTCACGACGGTCCCCCCTCTCGGTCACGCGCAGCGGGGTGTAGGGGGCGGGGGGAGTTCTTCTTAGAAGTACCCTTGCTTCGTAGGAGGCGCGGGCCTTGCCTGCAGATGCGAGATCAGTGCCTTCTAAGCAGCAGGCTCCGTCCGAGAAGCCTTCCCCCCCCCTATCCCTTGTGCGCGCCGCCGAATCCTGGGCCCCTCCCGCAACAGGCCGACCTCGGCACTGCCACTGCCCATCGCCCAAAGGGAGGTGCTCGGAAACGCACCTCCCGCACCGTGCCGATGCGCCGACGCCCGCGCGGCCGGCAGGCCCTGCTCCATAGAGCCCCGCGCGCCGCCGCGCTGGTCCCGGGCAGGCTGTTTTTGCCCAGCGGCAGGGGAAGAGGAGGGGAGAAGCCTTGGCATCGCTCGGACGTGTGCATTTTTCCTTCGGCGCTGACCACCGAGGAACCTCCTTGAGCATGTCGCGAACAAAAGCCACGCACGAAACCGAAAAAACACCACAGGGAATGGACGTCCGAGCGATGGCCAGAAGCAGGCAAACGACGACGAACCCGCAGGCGGGAGGCTTTCCTGCTCCGAAGCGGTAAGGCAAGGGGTCGCCGCAGGTGCGCGCGTGGAGCGCGTGCCTCCCCCACCCGCGCCGGGACGCCCTCGTCCGCTCAGAGCGCCGGAGGATCGACCGCCGTCGCAGGGGAGGCGGAGCAAGAGCAAAAGTGGGAGGCCGGGGCCAGCGGGGCGGGCGGGCGGGCGGAAGAGGGGCCGGGCGGAGGCAGCAGGCAGGCCCCATCCCACGGGTGCCTCCCGGCCGGTCCACCACGTGGAGCCTGGCCGCGGCGGCAGGAGCCCCCCTGCCCCGGCGGCCGGACCGAGGCAGAAGGCCGAGGTCGGTTCGTGGAGGGTACCCTGACGTTCTTCGTGTCTGTTGCAAGTGCTTGTGCATCCTGGGGGCGGGCACCCTTGGATGTTCCGTTTGTTTTGGCCGACGGGGGGGTCCCGTGCTCTTGCTTGGAGGATGCTCTTCTGTCCCAGGTCCGACTGCACCTCCCCTCGCGGGGAAACCGAAAGGTACCCATACGGCCACTCCACGGACCTCCCCCAGGGGTGCGTTCTGACCAGGATCTCGAGGCGAATCCAGCGGTGGCGACGAGGGCCTCCCAGGAGGCCCGACAAGGGCTTGGCATCGCTCGGACGTGTGCATTTTTCCTTCGGCGACGACCATCGAGGAACATCCTTGATCATTTCGCGAAAAAACCACGCACGAAACCGAAAAAAACACAGGGAATGGACGTCCGAGCGATGGCCAGGGAGGCCCGACAAGGGGGGAGGCGAGGGGAGGGCAGCGGTGTGGGCTCTGTTGCCTCCCTCGGCTCTCCGCGCGCCGCCGGCCCTCGCAGGATACTGCCGCGCGCGGCCGGACGACGGCCCGGGGGAGGTGGTGGACACGGCGGGGCCGCAGACGCCACGGCCGAGTCCTCGCGGGCGGGCCCGCGGCCAGGCGCCCGCGTCCGCCCGCGTCCGCCGTCGTCGTCGTCGTCGTCGTCGTCGTCGTCGTCGTCGTCGTCGTCGTCGTCGTCGTCGTCGTCGTCGTCGTCGTCGTCCTCATCGTCGTCGTCGTCGTCGTCGTCGTCGTCGCCGAGGTCTGCAGGAGGAGGCTCAGAGGAGCCGGAAGTCGTGAGCACGGCGCGTTCCAAGGTATCCGCGGTTTATCTGTTTTTTTTTTTCTGCACGGGCGCCAGAACTTGGGGCCGCTGGATACACGGGACTGAGTCTGAGTATGAAAGGCTGGGTATGCATTTGCAACCTTGAGTATGAGCCAGTCAGGGTACGGATGAGTCTGCATATGAGTGAGTGTGAGAGCAAGCGGATCTTAGTATGAGCCACTTAGATAGAGCGTCTTAGAACGAATGGGTCAGAGTATGTGTTGGCATGGGTCAGAATAGTTATGTCAGATACGTTTGTGAATGCGTCTGCGTTTGAGCGCCTGGACGTGAGTAGATCTGAGAGCGAGTGAGCCTCGGTCTGAGTATGAGTGGGATTGAATGTGAATGGATAGGACAATGAATAAGTCTGGGAATGTTTGAACGGATGATGCAATCTGGGCGCCTGGGAGGTCCCGGCAACCGTGGTGCGAACGGGCCCGTGTCGTGAACCTCCATGGCGGCTTCCCTTTGGAAGGCCCAAATGCCATGCCTGCCACATCGTGGTGGTCATGGGGCTCTGAGAATAGATATGTACTGAGCCAAAACAGGAGTGTCGCGTCAGAATTTTCCACAATCTGTGGGCGCGACCGGATTGGCGAGACATCTCAGGTAGAACGACAGTTTTTGGATGTAAGCGTTTCTGTCTTCAGAGTCTCTTGACCACCGCGATGTAGCAGGCTTTGTGCACAGGCCCGTTCGCGTCCAGACTTGTTGGGTCAATCACGTAGAATAGTAGTTTTTGGATGTATGAGCGTTTTCAGATCGCATGATTATCACGATGTGGCAGGCCTGGCACCGGCCTCTCAAGGGAAAGCGCTAGGTGATATTACTCGGCCCCGTTCGCTTCCACATTGGTGGGTACTCCGACTGGCTTGGGAGGTACTGCCCTGGCTTGGCGGCTTCCTCCCTTCTCTCCCTCCCCTTGCGAGTCCGGCACGTGCAAAACTGGACTGCTGGCATGCGCAGCACGTCCCCGAGATTGCACTGGTGCAATCCGGCTGGGTCCCCGGACTACAGCTGGGCAGTTTCACCGATGAAGTCGGCTTGGCCTGAATGTAGAAGTGTCTCTTTTCAGAGCCTTGTGATCGTCGGTCGGGGCTAGGACGATGATAAATCCATTCCAGAGCGTTCCGGAACGCTCTCAGAGCGTTCCGGAGCGCCCCGAGAAGGCCGCGGCGACCGAGACATTCTCCAGAGCCGCTGGATCTCAGAGATTCTCATCCCGGACGGAGGCAGGACAGTCTCCAGAAAGGGGACGCGAGGTCTGGCGGCCTGCATGCATTGAACGAATTAGGACATATACGGTATAGGTCCTCCTCCGCCTTTCTCTCCTTACCCTTCTCTCTACCCCCACCTTTTTTTGATCTCTCTCTCTCTCTCTATCTGTCCAGCTGGCTTCTTCTCTCTCTCGCTCTCGCTCTCGCTCTGTCTCTCCCGATCAGTCGGATAATCATGATGATGATGATGATGAGGGCAAGTATGACGAAGATGAGGACGAGACAGAGTCAGAATAAGGCGGCACAGCCAGCGCGGGAGGAGTAAAAGGCTTGAGGTCGAGTAGGAGACTGGAACAAGCCAGCCAGGCCGATCGAATCGGCGGGCCCCGCTGATTCTCACCCTCCCTCCCATCACATAGGAATCACTGGTGGCACAGTTTGAAATCAGCATTGGAACGCGTTCCCATCTAGCCAAAGGGATGCGCTCGCGTGCGGCCCCACTTTCGAGGGACTTAGCGAGGGGGATAACAACGCGGGCCGCGCACCAGCGAGAGCGGAGCTTCAGAAAATCTGTGTGCGGCGCTGCGATTGTTTCCCCTTGCCGATCAACGATTTAGGCAACTCGATGTGCGGCGGGGGTAGGGTTTTGGAATTCGTCGAACACGCGGCGAGTCCGAACCCTAACCCTGCCTCCTATCGGTTCAGGATAATCGATGGTTGGTGGGGGTAGGGTTCGGATGTCGCCACCTAGCGAGACCCACCGTGTAGCCCTCTCTCTCGGGCGGGCAATTGTTTGTTTCGGGGGTGCCCTTTGTTCTTGATGCTTGGGCCTTCCGCCCTGGAGTGTTCTTCGCTTGGGGTGCAGCCACAGCGCGGGTCAGGGCAGGACTGCTGACGCAAGGCATCGTTGCATCCTTCTGTTCCAGGCATCCGTGGCATGGCTTCTGCTCCCTCGGTCCAGGGGCCGTGCGTCCTCTCTGTGCATCCTTGTGTCGCGTGTGCGCCGCATTGCCTGGGGCCACTCCGTGGGTCGCTCTTGCATGTCTTCGACCCGCCCCCCCCGCAGCTCACCGCCCTGCACGAGACGAGGCCGGCCCTGGAGGCGCCCGCCCGCCCAGCTCTGCCGCCAGACCTCCGGCACGCATCCCTGCGAGGGCGAGGGGGGGAGCATCGTTAAGGGCTTTACGTGACGGGCCGATGTTCCACCACCTTTACCGTGGGTAGGACGGGGGGAGAATGGAGGATGGGGAGGTCCTCCTCCTCCTCCTCCTCCTCTTCTTGCCTATTGCAGTGGTGGTCGAACATTGGCCCATCATAACGACTTCTGCTGGCCCTCGGCTCGCGCTGGAGGGGCCACGATCTGGTCCACATGTCCCTGGAGATCTGTGGATTTACCTGGGTCTGCCAGGATTTCCCTGGATTTGCCGTGACTTATCCGCATGTGCCTTGATTTCCCTGGCCTGATCCCTACAAGTCGATTGGCGAAACGTCGTCAAGGTGACAAGGGGGGGAGCTGCCCCTTGAGCTCCAGGCGCTGCAATTTTTGCTTGACACTGGGCGTTGCCGCCCTGGTTTCGGGTCCTGGGCCCTCACAGATCGAACCGCCTCGAAGAAGGGCACAGGGAGGATGGGGTCAGGGGCTCATGCCGTGATTCCCACGACGTTGTCATTTTTGCAACATCGGATCTCGGGGATTTCAGGGGCACACCAGGTGCGACGGCAAAGGGGCCCGTCTCCTCTTGTCGGATCTGATGTCTCCAAGGTGCGACGGACAGGTGCCCGGCTCATCCTGTCGAAGCTGATGTCTGCAGGGTGCGACGGAATGGGGTCTGGGGTACTGTGGTATGGGGGGTTCTGCCTCATGAACTGCAGCTCGGATAGAATGCCATAGAAGCCCTCCCCCCTCCTCCCTCCCTCCTCCCTCGTCTCATCTCTTTGTCGCTCCTCTCTCCTCCTGTCCTCCTCGCTCCTCCCTCCTCGCTCCTCCTGCCCTCCTCGCGCCTCCCTCCTCCTGTCATCCTCCTTCTCGCTCCTCCCTCCTCCTGTCCTTCTGCCCCTCCTCCCTCCTCCGTTCTGTTTCCTCCTGAATATTTCCTCCCCGTCGCACCCCGAGGCCGGTCGAACAGGCGGGCTGGGCGTTTCGCATGAGATCTCCTCGCCATTTATGACTCTGAAGCTTCAGAATTTGCAACAGTTTCACAAATGGAGGGCGGGTGGTTTTCAACATGTGATTCTCGCCTTATGTCCGCGCACATTCGTTTTCGACAATTGCAAAATCTTCACGGAGTGAGGGCGGGTGGTTTTCAAAGTGTGGTTTTCGCCTTCGCGCCGCGCACATTCGTTTTCAAAAATTGCAATAGGTTCACGGATTGAGGGCGGGCAATTTTCAAAGTGTGGCTCTCGCCTTAGCGCCGCGCGCATTCGTTTGAAACATGTGCAAGAGTCTAACGGAGGGCGGGCCAATTGCGGCTCTCGCCTTAACCCCGCGCACATTCGATTTAAAGTTCGCAAGGGTTTTACGTATTGAGGGCGGTTCCTTTTCAACATGTTGTTCTCGCTTTCACGCCGCGCGCATTCGCTTCAAATATTTGCAAGAGTTTGACGGAGAGGCATTGTGCGAGAAATGGTTTTTTGCAGCGACTCCGGACTGTCAAGGTGCAACAGTTACGTCGATTCGCGGTGTTGAAGTCCCAGGATTCCTCCTGACACGACTCAGGAGAATCAGGCCGCAACAGTCAGGTTGATCAGTGGCGTTGGAATCCCGGTCTCAGTGTTTTAACATGCTTCAGGGTCCTCAAACGGTTGTCTCCCAGCGGGGCATTTTCCCCAGTGGAAATGAGTCCTGATAGGGGCCTACGAAAAGGGAGCCTGGAGGGCCTGTTTATTTCAGCATCGTTGATGCGTCTTGGGTTACACTTCCTCCTCCTCCTCCTCCTCCCTCTCCTCCTCCTCCTCCCCCTCCTTTTTCCTCCTCCTCCTCCGTAGCCATTTTTGCTCAGGATGTTTTGGTCCCTCGGGCTGGAAACGGATACCTCTAGTCCGAGGCTATCTCTCGATTCAGGCAACCCCAGTCGAGCTGCGCGCTGCTGGGGCCAAGGGTTTGTTCTCTCGAGTGGAAAGCTTGAAAGAAGCCTCGCTCACCACCGCATCAGTCAGCGATGGCGCATGATGAGCAAGTGCCTATTACATACGCGGGTCTGCAGTGGATGCTGGCGCAGATGCAGTCAAACCTGTCCACGCTGTTCACGACGCAGATATCCTCAATTCAGCAGGATGTCTCGGCCATCGGCACCACAGTTCAACAACAGGAAGCGACACTGGCCTCGTTGAAGCAGCAGTTGGGTAGACAGAGACAGATCACTGCGGCAGAGGAGAAGATTGAGAATACCAACAGCGAGTTCAAGAGGATCAGACCTCGAGTGCAAGCAGTACAGCTACCTCTTCTGCTGGCAGCTCCACGGGGCAACAATCGTATGGGAAAAGCGTTTTCGAGCTGATGGGAACAGGGGTGAGAGACGTCCAGATGCTGAACGTCGCCGCTGGGTTGGGACCTGGCCTCGCCCCGTCTTCAAGAAGGTGAGATTTGCATGTTGCGAGTGGTTGAAGAATGCGCTCCCAGGACATTTGGGCGATCAAGTTGAAGCTGATTTTCATGAAGTCTCTCAAACGTTCAGCCTGCTCTTCCCCAGCGCGGCAGACGCCCGTGCGTTCCAGCTGGCCGCCAACAATGCTGGCCTTGAGTGGCTGGATCCGAGAAGCCGTGAAGTTCATGAGATCAAAGTGCGTGGCAACCTCCCCATGGACCTCAAAGACAATAATCTTGCCTTCAGTACCATCTACAAGCCGCTGGAGAATCTCTTCAAAGAAATTCCAAGTGGACATCCACATGCAAGTTGAGGGTCAACGGCTACAAGAAACACATGCTCATCACCGACGGCGACGACCTATGGGAGCTGATCGAGCTGCAGGTCGCGCACCGGCCGCAGGGCAAGGACGCCTTCGCGTTCGAGAACCAAGCGGAGACCTGCAAAGACTGGAACATCTCAGACAAGGGCGCGCAGGCCATCCTCGACGAGGCTCAGAAGGAGATGGAGGAGCGCGATTGCATCTAGGACACACCGTCAAGGGCACAGAGCTCGAGGGTCACTGCGGGGGCTGCAGTGAGTACTGAGCCATTTAGTGAGCAGCATCAGTCACCCGACCTCCCCTCCTCGCCTCCGACGGCCCCCCCCCCCCCCCCCTTTGCGCCAGTCGAACAATTCGCCTTCCAGAGAAGCGTCAGTTTCTGCTCCTGGAATGCGCGGGCGCTTTGTTTTTCGCTCCATGCGTGGCCCGAGCAGGCTCGTGGCACAGATTCCGCTCTCTCTCGCTTTCTCCAGAAGCACGCTGTGGTGAGTATCCAGGAAGCCCATGGGCACCAAGGGGGGCATCAATACCTTATCCAGAGATCATCGGGACTTCGTCTTCTGGGGATCGTTCCTGGGCCAGTCCGCGGCCGGCGTCGTCGCAGGTGCGAAGCGGTCGCTTTTGTCTGAGTTTGGCGACCCGACCTTTGAAGACCCCATTGTTGGCCGCGTTTCCATGCTCACGCTGCGCAACCAGCACGGCGCAGTGCAGATTGCGAGCGTGCATATCGATCCTGGGTGGAATGAGCACGCAGTCAGACGGGCGTCCCTCCAGATTAAGCAGCGCCTCCCCCCCCGCTCCACAGTCGCCAGCATGGGCGACTTTAACTTCCACATCTCAGGTGAAGGTCGCTTCTCCGTCGATGCGGGGAGGGGGCGACCTAGGCTTGTCGGGCCATCCCAGATATTCGACCAAGTGTTTCCTACATTCTGCGAATCAGAACAAGTTGACTATGCGCATCGGAGAATTGCGAATGGGCAAGCTAGTTACGGACGATTAGACAGAATATACATCAACTTACCTACTGCTGAGCGACTGGTCCCACAGTACTACGGAATGGGGAATTTCGGACCTCAGGGCGCCTTCATATCACGCCCCCGTGTACCTTAGCCTGAACAAATGGTCTGGTATCATCCCACATAAAATTTCCTCCTGCATCGCACTTCCCACACCGTGTTCAAACATTACCTCAGTGAGCCCATCGAGAATAACCCCATCGACTCGTTCCCGCCCGATCGCATCGAGGACATTAAAGCATGCGTGAGGTTTGCTGCTTCCCAGGTCCAGCAATTCGTTCAGCAAGAAGGGGCTGCCAGTGTAGATGCAGAACTATTCTGCTGCCTCAAGCTGCTGCGAGCTGATCGCAGTGGCAACGCCCGCCAGGTGCGCAGAGCAGTGCATGGCCATGAGTATCTCGCCAAGTTTTATTGTGTACACGCTGGGCTCTGGACCGACTGGCGCGGCACTCATGCTCGTCTCCGCTCGCTCCAGCAAGGGTGCCTCCATAAGACTGAGCAACAGACCATCGCCGGGCCCGAGCTCTCCTCCTGTAAGAAAGAAGCCGCGCTGGCCCGTGTTAGAAGAATGGAGGCAGCTTGGGCCAAATCGCGCCCTGTCCTTCGCCTGGCGGCCGTAAAAGTCCCCGAGGGCGTTGCCCGCCCCGGCCCCGAAGAGAGCAATGCCCTCTTGGCCGAGTTTCGGGGGGAGGTGTTTGATGGCATGAAGGGGCCGCCCATCGACGCGACCAATCACTTCCTTAGCTTTGTTTCCCCGCTCGTGGACAGCGGCGACCAGTTTGTCACGAATGACCGCCAGCGCCACGATTGGGTAGTCGACTTTGAAGGCTTCAAGAGGTGCTTGTACTGCAAGCGCGACACGGCCGTGGGCCCAGATGGCATCTCATTTTCTGCCTGGAAGAAAGGTGGCAGCGTGGTTGCCGATGCTCTCTATGCCCTCTATCTTCACCTCGCCCATGGCGGGTTACTCCACCCTTCCTTCAATGGCTCCCGCTCCGTCTTCCCCTCGAAAGGAGACCTCTTAAACGGCGGTCTTGAAGATAGAGCCCCAGAAGATACCAGGCCACTCGCGCTCTCCAACAGCGACGACAACATGCTCGCATCGCTTGTTGCCCTGCCTCTGCAAGCTGTTGCTAGTCAATATGTGCACGAAGTTCAGCGCGGGTTCGTGAGGGGGAGGAGCTTAGTTGATGACGTCGTGGGGCTCGACGGGCACTTATTGGGATGGGGGGCTATCATGGGGCATCGCGAGACAGCTGGATGCTGTTTTAAAGTTGCGCTCCCCAGTGCGGTGCATCGCTGGATTTTCGCCGTCCTTGAGGCCCAGCGCTTTCCGAGCTTTTTGGTCGAGGCGAGTGGGGAGCTCTACCGCGGGGTTTTCATGCAGGTGTGTGTGTGTGTGTGTGCGTGTGCGTGTGCGTGTGCGTGTGTGTGTGCGTGGCGTGTGTGTGTGTGTGTGTGTGTGTGTGTGTGTGTGTGTGTGTGTGTGTGTGTGTGTGTGTGTGTGTGTGTGTGTGTGTGTGTGTGTGGGTGTGGGGGGGGGGGGGGGGGGGGGGGCGACGACCCCATCGGTTTTTGGCGCGGGAGGGGGGTGGCGCAAGGTCGCCCTTTGAGCGGGGTTCTTTTCGCCATCATTCTCGACGCGGTTATTCGTGCGATCCTTGCCATTCCGCAGAGCCCTGAGTACAGCATCCATGGCTTTGCCGACGACTTAGCCGCCGCCGCTCAAAACATCCATGACTTCCTTCCGAAGGCCGTCGAGATTGCATGTCGGGCTGGTTTCTACGCAGGCACGATGTTGAATCTCAAAAAGTGCGCGATTTTCTTCGCGTTCCCCACGAATGAGGACAAGGCGAGGCGGAGGTGTAAAAGTGCAGGGGTCAACGTCGCCAGATTCAGGATCGTGGATTGTGCTAAGTATATTGGAGTATATGTCGGCCGTGGAGGCCCTGTCAAGTCGTGGATTGCGCCTGGCGCAGAACTATTTCAGAGGTGCAGTGATGTAAAGATGTTGGGGGGGGGGGGGGGGGGGGGGGGGGGAAGCCTCTCACAGATCATCCTGTGCCACGCTGTGCGCGCCGCGCCTGTCACCGGCCACGCCAGCCAGTTTTTTTTCAGTTGCCAGGCGAGGTTCTCCGTCGCGGGCGGGGGGGGCTACAGCTCCTCCACCGAGGCCCCCGCTGCTCCTTCCCCCCGAAGAGCTTCCACGACCTCACCATCCTAGGCCGCATCAGGAATGCGACCTCGCCAGGTATGGTATGCAGAGCCGCTCTAACTAGAGCGGCGTATCTCAGCAGAGAATATCAGCGAGTACGGACGTGGCTAGACGGTCTCCAGAAACGTGATGATGCCAGCATTGCCTCCTTCACCCGCCCCT